GAAGAAGCCAAAGCTAACTTGTATTATTAATCTCATGATGGCTCAATAAATTTAGTATTAAAATACATATACAATTTATTATTATTATTATTATTAATTTATTCATTTATTTTTTGCAGAACCTGGGATTGAACTCAGGCCCTTGCGCTTATTGTGCTTACCTTCTCCCCAGCCCCTCTTTTCTTTTCCTAATACTTACTTTTTTTGGCAGACTGTATATCAGACAAAGGATTTATATTCAAGATGTATTATAAAACTTCTAGAAATCACCATCCCCAATCTAAGTTCCTAAGTAGGCCGTGGACACAGATGCACCGGAAGACCGAAGCCTGTTTGTCGTATCAGACGGCAGAGAGAGGCACATCGTGATCACCGAGGCAGGCCGTTTTACTCCCCTTGGAAGGACCAGCACTGAAAAGACTGAAAGCGCCAGGTGTTGCCAAGAGCGTGGAGCAAACTGTAATTCTCATACATTGTGGTGGGAATGTGAAATGGTATGGCCACTTTGGAAAACCATTTTTACTTCCTTAAAAAGTTAAGCACATAGGCAGGTGTGGTGATGCACACCTGTAATTCCAGCAATTGAGAGGCTGAAGCAGAAGGATTGCCATGAGTTTGAGGCCAGCCCAGGCTAAAAGTAAGTTCAAGGTCTGGCTGTTGAACTATACAGCAAGACCCTACCTAATGAAGAAAAAAAAATAGTGAAACATACATCTCCTAAGTGACCCAGTAATTCTGCTGTTAAGTATTTTGTGCAAAATCAGTTAATGCACAGTTCCAACTTAGAAACAACACAAATTCCCTTCAACAAGAGAATAAATAAAATAGATTTTGGTGTACTTATACAGTGGAATATTATTCAGTGAAGAAAAATAAACTATTGCTTCATCTAACAACACGAGTGACTCTCAGAAACATACGGAGCAAAAGAAGTCAGGCACGAAAGATTTTATAGTATGATTCCATTTATGTGAATTTCAAGAATAGACTAAACTATGGCTTGCCAAATAGCTCAATGGATTACAGCGCCTGCAAGCTGATGCAGAGGCTGGGGGTTCGATCCCTGGCCTACTGTGCCGCCACCCCCTGGGGGTGCGCTGAGACAGCAATTGAGACTGGGTGTGGTGGCATGTGCCTGTAATCTCAGCACTTGGGAAGCTGTAAACAGGAGAATCACTACAAGTCTGATCTAGTAGGAAGACCCTGAACACCCTGTAGATCCTTCCCTAAAATACAAATAAATAAATAATAATAGTAGTAATAATAGGCTAAAATAACCTTTGGTGAGAAATACCAAGATGGATTGCCAGTAGGAGGTGGCGATCAGCTAGAAATTTAAGAACAGGTAGAATCAATTAGCGGAAATACAAAATCAAAAGATTGTTACCTGAAGTGGTAGAGATTGAATGGAAGGACCAAGGGCTGGAGGATAATGTGTGTGTGTTATATTCTGATTAGGGTGGTGGTTTCGTGGGTATACATGTGAACAAAGGCTTACTGAACTTTATTTTGTATTTAATACCTCTGTATTTCAAAGACCTTACTCAGAAATTTTATCCAGTAGTGCTATATAGTAACTGAATTGAATAGTGAATAATAACAGAATTGAAGCAAGTGGCATTCATGATCATAGATTTTTTTAATAAAGTAGTCCTCCTTATGTACAAGAGATATGTTCCAAGACCCTCAGTAGCTGTCTAAAACCACAGGCAGTACTGAACCCTTTATATTTTTTTCTATATATACATCTATGATAAAATATAATTAGGCATAGTATGTGATTAGCAACATTAATAAAATAATACATTTTAAAAATATAATGTAATAAAACTTATGTGACTACATACTCTATCTCTCTCAACCTCCACAGGGTCAGAAGCATCTACAGCATAAATGAAATGATAAATCAGGGGCTGGGGATAGAGCTCTGTGGCACAAGCACTGGCCTGACAAGGGCAAGGTCATTAGTTTGAGTCCTATACCAAAAAAATAAATAACAACCACACAAAAAAAAAGATGATAAATCATGTCCCCCAGAGTGAGACTGCATAAGACTTTATTGTGCTACTTAGAATGTCAATTACAACTTAAAAATTATGTCTGGTATTTTCTATTAATACTAGACCCCAGGTAACTGGAGCCATGGAAAATGAAAATGCAGATATGAGGAAGTACAGTACAAATCCTTTGCTAATTAATGGGAAGGAAAGAAGAAAAATAGGGAGGAAGGGAGAAAAGGAGGGAGGAAAAGAGGGAGATGGGGGAGGGACCGAGGGAAGGGGGGAGAGGAGGAGAAGGGGAGAGAGAGAGACAGAGACAGAGAGAGGAGAGAGACGGAGACAGAGACAGAGAACTGAGCATTTAATATTTAACCAAATGGTAAAAGTACAAAGGTGAACTTTAAACATTTCTCTGCTTTTGGGGGGAAGAAAATGTGACAAATTGTACTGTTGTCACCAAGAGATCACTGAGACAAAGTTAGCAGGAACAGGTAGGGCAGCAGTTTCGCACATGGGGCAGGGGAGGCGTCCAGGGGAGCTGTTGGGTCCGCTGCCTGGGCTCTGCCCCGGCTGACAAAACTCTTGCCCAGGATGGGAGACGTCTGGGTTTCAGGTCTGCTGTTGTGCTTGAATGGAAAGGAAAAGCAGAAAACCTGTTTCACAAAGCTCCCTGGCCCTGGAATCTGGGAACGGTTTGGGTCCAAACAACCTTAACTATGCTCTTTTTGAACACTTTAAATGTAAGTTTCGGGGGGAAAGCAGGCACTTTCATCCTTGTTCTCAAACATCTTTTGAACCCTAGTGAAGTGACAGTTGTGGAGTCATGAACTGAAAAGTACCACTGAAATTTGCATTAAAGCACATGTTTAGAGTTTAAAATAATTTATCTCTGAATTCTACATAAATGACATAGTGAATGAAAATTGTACTCTTGCGTAAAACTTGTACTTTCATAACACAGCTATTTAGTGGGTAATGAAATTTGCTAAGCAGTCCTGTTATTTAACAACAACAACCTCTTTGAAAGGAGCTTTGCATGGCTGGTGCTAGCCAGGGAATCATAATAGGCAACGATCTCGAATTCCACACCTCAAGAGCTGTGTGGCAAATCTCCTAGCACTGCTGACCTCTGAACTGTGGCTTTTGATAATTTGGAGGCTGATGATCTGGATGACATTGCCCATGCCTGTAAGAATTTGGTGCTAAGCACTTGGTCCTGCGTGTTGGGGAAAGAAGAGATTTAAGAACAGGAATCGAGAAGAGTCCATATTCATTGAGCATGGTCTACACAGCCTGGTTCAGGGCAGGCTCTGTTCTGTATTTGAAAACTCCTGTAGATGTGATTCTTGTTCTTGTAGGGTCACTTTATAAAGTCTCATGGTAAAGGAAATGGGGGATCAGGTTCTGGGGCTCATCTATGCTAACTTTCATGTGATTATCATACTGGGTTATTTTATTCACTCATTCATTCTTTCCCTACCATTTGCTGCTAATTTGTTTTCATCTGGGAGAGGGTTGTTTTTGTTTTTATTTTGAGACAATGTCTTGCTATGTAGTTGAGTCTGTCCTTGAACTCAAACTCAGGGCAATCCTGCCTCACAAGTGCTGGGATTACAGACATTCACTGTTCATTTTTTTTTGTACTAAATGAAACAAGAAATCAGACTCTTGGGGTTTACCTACTAGTTTCAAAAACTGACCATGCAACTCAGGGGGGCAATTTGATTATTCCTTAACTTATATATTTGTAATGTGGATATAAAAATTCTTATCCTAAGTGATCACAATGCTAAGTTTTGAAAATCAAGTGAAATAAATAGATATTGATACAGAGGGATTGAAACTCCCAACTGGAAAGATACCTAGGCCGAGTTCTGTTGTTCTCTAAAACTGAAGAATGAATTTTAGGAACAACAGAGGTTAAGAGCAGAATATATTTACTGGGGGAAAGAAAGCTCCTGCCTGAGAGAGGGACAGAGGAGGACCTGAGCCGTGTGCCCTGGAAGCTGTGTCTTCCAGGGTTTTTTATAGAGTAAAACCATACGATAAGGTGGGTCTAAGGTAGAGAGAGAACAGGGAAACTTGCTTAGGTGGGCATGAGGTGGGACAAAACTATGGTCAACCAATGAGATTACAAGCACAGTTGCTCAGGTAAAACTGATTAAATCTAAGACCAAATGGAGAAGCCAGTCACATAGCAGTGGGCCTGGCAGGCATGAATACAGAACAGGGGCTTTTCCTGTGGGAGACCGAGTTAGTGACTTCCAGGTGTCCTTAAAGCAAGGGACTCATTTAGCATCTCAATCCTGGATGCCTATCTTTAGGGAGGTATGTGGCTGCATGTTTACTCTTTGGTCTTGGGGTCCGGCCCACAGCAGGGGTCTGTCTATCCCAAAGTTGCCAAGTCATCTTGTCTTCCATACTGTCTCCTTGAGGGCCTGGCCCTGTCTGACTGCCTATAATATTTTTATCTAGCTCAGCCACCTGTAACAATATTACATTGCTTCGACAGAAAAAGACAAATGGTCCCATAATGTGTATTACTGTTGTGCAGGCCAGTGTGATGTACGCCAGTGTTCCTGGGCTGGAGTTCCCTAGAGATTCTTGGGGATTCTGTGTGAGTACTGGTCACTCAGTCTACTTCCAGAGGGCCTGAGATTCTGGAAGCCAGAAGTTTGCATTTCAAGTACTTCTGATGCAGCAGATCTAAGGACCCACCAAGATACACCCACGTACAAGCACAGCATTGAAGGATTGTTCCGCAAAGTGTCTTTAGGCTAATACAGGAGCTCGTATCTGAGGCATTAGTCATGAGTTTATCTGTACATGTTCAAAGGTGATGTCTCTCATTTCTGTTGTTTTTCTGCCTGTTTGAAAAGATTGCTCAGTAGGGGATTAGTGGAAATATGCTGGCCATCCTTTGTGCAAAAACAAAACAACTAAAAAACTGTGTCCCTGCAGGAGAATAAACCACAATCTTTTATTTTCATTTCCTGCCAGCAATGTCGAGTCCTCAGAGAAGAGATTCCGAATGAACAGCTTTGTGTCAGACTTTGGGAAACCGCTGGAGCCAGACAAAGTGTTTTCCCGCCAGGGCACTGAAGAATCTAGATCTCTCTTTCACTGCTACATCAATGAAGTGGAGCGCCTGGACAAGGCCGTGGCTTGTCACCAGACCACGGCTGTGGACAGCAACGCGCAGCTCCTGGAAGCCCGCAGAGGCAGTGAGAGGGCAGAGGCAAAGGAGCTGAACAGGCTGATGAAGTTTGACATCCCCAACTTTGTGAACACGGACCAGAACTCATTTGGGGAGGACGATCTTCTGATTTCAGAACCACCTATTGTTCTAGAAAATAAGCCAGTTTCCCAAACCTCCCATAAAGACCTGGACTAAGAAACATCTCTGCGTCTTTCCAAAGATGTAGGTTCTGTCTTTATTCCCCAAATGTGTGCATGTGTGAGAGAGACAGAGAGGAGAGCCTTCCCTGGAATATGGCTGCGGGTTCTCATTGTTGGGTTTGTTGTCCTTTGTTTGACTTTTAACACACTGTTTTTTCTTTTAAGTATTTGCACTATCTCATCCTCCTTGTGGAAAATTTGTGCAAATAGCACAGCACTCTTGGATGAGGATTAATGTATGCATTCTAATCTGGCCCTGCCGCCCTCACTCTGTACCTTGAGCAAACTGCTTGGCCTCTCTGGGCTGCAATAGTTTTAGTGGTCAGTGATGACTAGAGTGGGCAATCTCTCCTGGTACTAGTGCTTGGTGAATGGATGACTTTGCAGCCAAGGCAAGCTGCGACAGACATAAAGCAGTAGAAAGAAGGGTCCCCCAATCTCTGTACCTTCAATGCAGTCCTTCATCAAGCCATGCTTTAGTGAGGAGATCTTTATGCACCCAGGACCATACGGTCGTCGTGGTAAACATTTCTGCTGGGCTTTGCTGAAACAGTTCTCTAGAGGTTCTCTAATCCCCATGCTCCAGCCTGTCTATCCCACAGTGAGTACCAATCCATGGTATGCCACGTGGCACTTCTGTCCCCAAGAAATGTAGGGAAAGTTGGCATCTGAATGGGTCTTCTGCCTGTCTTTGTGTTGGTGTATCAGTGTCACACTGCTGTGCCACTGACTTCAGAACAAGGAAAGCAGGATTCGCCATGTGCAGGTGATGGTCATGTGGCTTTGAGCTGAGGTGGTTGGTGGCATTGGCATACCACACTCAAGGATTCTCAGGGTGGCCTTCCATTATGAGTGTGGATTTCATGAAGGAATCAAACCTGCACACTGGAATGGGAACCAACTTGGAGTTGTACACATAGCTGTATGCATGCCAAGCTGCTAATCAGGGGCAGGCAATCGCATTATGAATTTGTTTACCACCTATCTGCTTAAGCTACAAAATAAATATATACATATGTATGACTGCGCAGGAATTTTCTCTGGTTCTTTATTTTCAGAATCCAAATTTAATTTTTTAAAAAACAAGCTCATGTCTGCAGTCCCTCCTAACTTTTCAGGTGAGAAGTGCTGTCGTCTCTAGGATCCTGGTTTTCACAATCAATCTCATGCCTGAGATTTTATTTAGGAATTATTCCACCACAATAAAATCCTTTCCTATAATATCTTTTAAGGAAAGTGAATTTTTTAAAATTCAAAACAGTAGAACAAAGCATGGATACCTAGTGTGATGAGAACTATTTAACAGGGTGTAATGGTCGGTACAGTCTCAGCTACCTAGAGAGCTGTGAAGGGCGGATCACCAGGCCTGCCTCAGCAATAGAGCAAGGCCCTGCCTGTCTCAAACTGAAAAGGGCAGGGGTATAACTCAGTGTTCTCTGGGTTCAAGATCCAATGCATACCAGAAACAAACAACAGCAACAACAAAACCACTACAGCAAATTCTTATAGGGCTGGCCACATAGCTCAGTGGACTAAAGCGCCTGCTTAGGCAAGTGCAACAACCAGAGCGATTGAGACTGGGCATGGTGGTGCACACCTATAATCCCAGCACTGGAGAGCCTGAAAGCAGGAGGATCACCACGAGTCTGATCTGTGTAGTGAGACCATGTAGACTTTGCACTAAATACATTTTTTTAAAAAGTAGCTTTAGCAGAAAACTGGAAAGTATTTAAAAGTTGGAAAAATACTCATGACTAAGCCACCACTTTAATGAACTAAAGATTAAAGATTGTGAAGGGTCTGAACCTGTATTCGTCTTGTAAGGCAGCCTGTCATAGTCCACAGATACATTTTCTAGAAGATACAAGGTCCTGGTCAGATGCCAAGCATGCCATGAGAACCCAGCCAACTGTGTGCACTCCATGTACTGGGAGTTTCTTACTGTTATCGTAAACAGGTTATGACAAATTTACTGGCCACACAAATTTATCCCCTTAAAGTTACAGAGTACAAATGTCTAACATCAGCTCATGGGCTAAAAACAAGGGGTGAGCAGAGCTGGGTTTCATCTGGAGGTTCTAGGGAAGAAGCCATTTTCTTGCGTTTTTCCAGCTTCCGGTTCTTGTCACACTTCTTGAGTCAGGGCCATACGTCACTGTGACATCTTTTTCCTATTTCCAGGTCTGTCTCTGTCTGCCCTGCCTCCTTCTTAAAAGGTCTCTCGTGATTTGCACTGAGCTATCTGACAACATTTCTTGAGAAAAGATGCTTTTCTTGATTCCATTTGCAAAGGGACTTTGTCCGATAGAGCAACATATTCACAGGCTCCAGGGACTAGAGTGTGGACACAATCTACTATAGCATCAAAGCCCAAAATGTTATGTCAGCCTCATCAGCTACAAACTCCCAAATCTCACATCCTTAACCTCTAAGTCAAGAGGGGTGAATCCTGTGTGTGACCCAGCCTGGGGAACAAGAGCCTCTGCCTATGGACCTGTAAAACAAGAAAACAGGTTATCTGCTCCTTTAATACAATCGCATGCCAATTGTAAAATAATAGCCATAAATATTCTCATTCAGAGAAGAGGACAAGAAAACGTCACTGTTGCAAAAAACCCCTCAAAATTCAACTGAGGAAATTCTATTGGGTTTCAAGACCTGGAAGTTGTGTTAAGGGTGCAGAGAGGAGAGAGACCACAGGAGCAAGCTTTGCGGAAGTAACCCTGCTGTGTAGTCACTGAGGCAGGGGTGGGTCTTTTTGGCAGATGAATTAGCTGCAAGCAAAGGTGGCACAAAGGCTTTCAAGGGAAGGGGAGGAGCTTGCTGCTGGAGAATTTGGGGCAGAGATTGTGTGATTGTGTTTCTCCCAGAGGTAGAGCAGATGCTGGTGTGGTCCCCCCTCTGGGACAGAGGACAGGGATGCAACGAACTTCCTGGAACCAAGAGCTGCATAGCATGGGGTTCTGTAATGGCTCTTCCACTGGGTGTGGCAGAAATAATCTTTTGTGGCTCCATCTATGAGGCTGAAATTCTGCTTTTAGGATCACCCATCTTTTGTACCAAAGAGCAGCTAAGTGTAACTTGGTGGTTTTACTAGCCTGTTTCCTGCATGTAGAATTTTCAGGGTCTGACAACTCTCTGTTGCTCACCCTCCCTTTCAGTTCAGGTGGGAGTATTACAGTACATCATTTTTGTGAATATTGTAAGTCTCCTGAATATATGACCAGCATTCCCTCCATTAGAGAGGAAGCTTTTCTACAGACCAACCTTGAAAAATCTTGATCTCTAGTCCTAGATTTTCTCAGTTGAAGGGATTGTAATTCATACCCCTCATGCACACAAACAATCCTAGACATATGCCTAGACATTCTTTTATTCCTCTTAAGACCTTAGCAAAAGTTGTTAGTTACAGTCTTCACTTTCTATATACAGCAAGCCTTTCCTCAAACTTTTTTAAGTAAGGGTCTACAGGGTCTCACTACACAGATAGGACTCAGTGATCCACCTGTGTTCAGCTTCCCAAAGAGCTGGGAGTACAGGCGCACACCACCACATCCAGTCTCAATCGCCCTCTTTCCTTGAACTTTTAACTATAGAGTTTTGTGTAAGTCAGTAGTCTGATAATTTTCCAGATCCCCTTCCCTAAAATACAATAAGTAAATAAATAAATAAATAAATAAATAAATGGCTGTCCAAATAGCTCAACAGATTAAAGCACCTCAAGCAGGCACAGGGGCTGGGGGTTCGATCCCCGGGCCTGCTGTGCCAGCCCTACCCCCAGGGTGCACTGAGAGGGCAATTGAGACTGGGCATGGTGGCACATGCCTGTAATCCCAGCTCTTAGGAGGCTATAAACAGGTGATCACTATAAATCCAATCTAGTAATGAGACCCTGAACACCTTATAGACCCTTCCCTAAAATTAAAAAAAAAAAAATTTCCCACATCATGTGGTCCTGGCTCTTTTCCACTTAACAGCTCTTCCTTCAATTTATCTCACTTTTTCTATAAGCAGCAGGAAGAAATAGGATCTCATATTTGCTTGGAAATCTACTTAAATATCCCAAGTTAAATGTTTCTGGATTTTGCTTTCTACAAAACTGCAGAATGTTAATTCACTTAAGCTTTCTGCCATTATGTAACAAGGAC